TGATAATTATGACATCTGAATATGCTTCTGATCTGTATATGAATATTTTGATTCTCATGACAGTTATTCGGCTCACTCAGGTATGTTAAGTGTTTGTTTGACTAGATGTTAATTATGTTATGTTGCTATTTGATTTAAATATATGTGATAATTATTATTATCATTATTGTTATGATTATTGTTATCAGTATTTGTACAGTACCACTCAGCACATTGCTGAGCGGGTAGTTGTTTGTTTTTCCTACCCGTAGGTTGAAGTACATTCAGCTAAGATAAGGATGCTGGGATGGAAGGAGACGTAGGATTCATGAGCATATCATGTGTGTATTGTTTATAAATAAGCAAATAAGAAGCAAGTTTGACTTTAAACTTATCTGATCATTTTCGTTTTGTAAACGCTTCTGCATATCTTGAAATATTTTGTGTTGTATAATATTAAGTGATTTATGGTGACTTGATATTTTCACGTATTGAACAATAAGTTGACGTTTGAATAAAGATATTTTATTTAAATACTTAATTTTGTTTTAACTAATTAAAAGTGTTTTATTTAAACCTGTTTTGATTTCTGCCACGTGACACACCGCTCGGGTCGGCGGGGCCGATTCGGGTAGGGTGTTACAATTTTAATCCAAAAACCCCACCCCTGGCCTTCCAACCGACCTCTCCCGTCATTCGGCCTGCACTTCTTCGAGACCTCAAACTCAGCCTTTGCGCTTCCCTCCACCCCGATAACATAGCCACTGCCCTCCGACTAACACCATCCCCACCACATGGTTCCTCCTTCCACACCACCCCATTTCGCCTTTTCCAAAAGCTCCACATAAGCATTACGAACTGACATTGCTTCTCCACGTTCACACTCTAAAAAATACTTTGTACACATTTAGCAAAAGGCGGAGCCTCATTTATGAAGCTTCAATTCCCTTGCTGCCACACTGCCCGAACATACAAACAACTCCTCAACGCATTCTTCGTATTCTCCTCCTCGGTATCACATAATTTGCGAATAGGGGAAATTCGGACTCCCCTGCTACATACCCTTACTGCCGTCCGTAGACACCCCTCAACAACCTGCCTCAGAAATAATATAAATTAAGGAGGGATATTAAGTTGCCAAGCCTTAGTCCACCCAGTCTACCTCCCTTGTGTCAACTCTCCCTGAGATAGTGATAACAACTTTTCACTGAAAAAATTTCATCGTTTCCCCCTTCCAGTGGCGGATCCAAGATAAAAAATAATTGGGGGGCAGAATAATTTAAAAAACACACTAGAAAAACAGTGTTTTGACCAAGTAGTGTTAGCATTTTCAATGTGTGAAAAAGTTATTTGGCAAATAGCTATTCGGCACTAACTTTTTTGGACGGAAATGCTGAAATGGAAATGATACAAATTGGAGAGTTTTGAGTTAGTATTTTGAAATATGGTGTTTTCTACTAAGTTTATGCTAACTTATTCCGCTAGTCAAACTCTCTGACTAAATCCGCTATTGATAACTCACTAATATAACCCGTGATTCGCTAACCGTTATTCGCCAAATGTCAAACAAGCTCTTAATGATACAACAAAAAAAGTTTTAACAAAATACATCACAATTATTCGTTCCGAATTTTCTTCTTTTGAAAGAGATTCATTATATTTTATTTGTGACCATTTCAAACAAGTCTCTTTCAATAAAACAAATTAGATAATCTTTAAAAACATATCTCCAACTTAAGAGCCCTTCATTTACAAATGTGTCAATCCCAACACAGTTTTGGGAGTGATCACTAAACAAGTAACATTTCAAATGTTAATATACTGTATTTAAATATACAGTAAATGGGAGTGTCATTTACTGTATTTTACTGTATTTAACCATTATTTACTTTTAGAATTGTAATCTTACTAAATGACAACCGTAAAAAACTTACTAAATGACGTTTTCTATTTTTTTAAAATTTAGGTAAATTAACAATCCTATACGAAACTAATAACGTTATCATTAATAACATTATCAAATACTTATGTTAATATAAAAAAAAATAGTGTATGACCTTTAGCAAGTAAACAACACAATCACACACACATATTACCTATCGAAGGAGTACGTAACTGAGTAAACAACAAAACTAATTACACAAGCCATTAGATGAACATTCAAAATAAAGTGAACATGAGAACATATGTGCGGCTAATTTATTGGGAGTTGGGAGTATGTTTGCTTTTGCACTCACAACTCACATTTAGCTGAAGGTCTGATCTCTAATTTCTATTCAAAAATAATTCTTCATCGTCAAATGGGTTTAGCCTTTTGCATAAGTCACTAATTGTGAAATCTGAATTTCAAATTCACATAATTTTAGGCTCTGGTGGGCAAAATCTTAAGTTATTGAGGGCACCGATTTTTTTCTATTGGGGGCAAACTGCCTTTATTGGGGTCTGGTGGTGCTTTATTGGGGGTAACTGCCCCCACCCCCACTGCCTTGATAGATCCGTTCGTGCCCCCTTCCACCAAAACACATCTGACCGGTCCTGTATGTTAATCGGTATACTGAGAATTTGTTTAGCCTCATTCAGAAAAAAAAGAGAACGAACCCTAACAGTTTGCCATCCTTTGCCGCCCTTCGTGCGCAATACTGCCACATTCATATAAAAAATTCTAGTCAACTTAGGGGAAATAATTTCTCTTGAATTATATAACAATCAACATAAGTGAATTTTAAGTTCCTTTTATGATTGAACTAGTTTTCAAGCTTGTGCGATGCACGAGCAGTACATAATTTAGCTAATTGTAACTTTCATATTTTCAAAATCATATATAATTTAATGTGATGCAAAACTTAAAGAAACTCGGTCTAATATAAAACCATTTGATAATACTAAAATTGGTCAAATTGTTTAACTCTACTGTAATGAATTAAATCTAACTGATTGGGCTAAATTGACGAAAATCTCCCAAATTATGAAAAAGCAAAATAAAATATACTACGTAATTAATAAAATAAATTAAAATTTTAATGAAAAATATTTAAAATCGACTTCTACATAAGTATCTCAACTAAACATAATTGTTATGAACTCCGTTTTAATGAACTCACACAAAAGTTTCTTAATTAATTTCACATAATTTATATTACTTCATTAAGCATCTCAAAACACTATTTTGTAAAATATTTCTCATTCAACATGGTATGAAATAAGTATTTGTAAATTTTATTAGTAAGATCTTACATTTTACTCATTATTTCGTCACATTGAAAATGTAAAAAAATGGATCTTTTTTTACAATTTACTCATTTAATTCATCACATTGAAAACATCATTAATAAAGATATTTTTAATAGATTGACATTTTCAGTTCTAATTTGGTCTGGAGTAATACAATGCAGAAGATGTCTATTTTATATTTTTATGTATGTATAACTTTAATAATAATAATAATATTTACTATTATTCTCATTGTGATTGGTGTTTGATCCAATCTTGTATGAGATTGAAATTGGTCCAATTAAAAACATCCTAAATGTATGAAGATTTCCTAATTTGGATTAGGAAGCTATTTCAAAAAAGGAGGAATATTTAAGTTGTAGTTGTAAAAATAAAGGAGTTTTTCCTTAAATGTTACTAATAAAAAGTCGTGGACAAAAAATATTACTCTTAGTAACTATTAGTGACTATAGTTTTGTTTAAACTTTACATCATAGTAACTTACATGTAGTTATTAAGATGTAAAGTTTAACATTAATATAGTTACTAATACTTACTAAGTAATATTTTTGTCCATCACATTTTAAAGAGTAATATTAATGGAATTTTTCAACAAAAACAACTAAACATATTTACTTTTTTGGTTGGGCTAAACATATTTACTTGTGAAAATATATAAACATATACATTTATATGTATGATATGAATTTCCATCCTAATAAAGGTAAGCTACTTGATCATATATAGACTTCATACTTGATCAATAAAGTTTTAAATGTTTTCATATATGAACGACTAATAGTATATATCAATTTCATTTTCAAGTTAAAGTATTGACTGAAGTTATTGTAGATGACAATTTTAGCTATTTTTCATTAATATTTTTCTGATTTTATTTAAAAAATATATTTTAAATATAATTTTCATAAATCAGCAGAATCAACCAATACAGTCACTTCAGTTAGAACTTCATAAAATAGTTGATATAAAATATAGTCTATGTGTACGGGTGGCTATTTATTGTTGTGGTTCCAATTGCTTAATTTAATAGCTATCCAAATCAATACGGAGTAAGTAATAGACTAATAGGTCATGAAAAACTTACCAAGTAAGTTGGATTCTAACATACAATCTTTTCTTTCCATATCAATATGTATTAAAAATAGAATGTAATAAAAAATATAAGGTATAAAAAGTAATTAATTAATTGTTATCTGTGATTATATGGCAGGATTATGTGGCACGCCGTATGCTATTAAAAAGTTCCTCTTGGATATATTGATATTGATTGGCTAAATTTAATGTAGAATATCAACGACGCCACTTATAATTTCATCAAATCAATTGTAACTATTTAGAGGCCGTTTGGAACCACTGTTTTCGGCTTATCAGGCTTATCAGTCAACTTTTTCACCAAATACGTAACTTTTGCTTTCACGCGTTGAATTGTGTAATAGGCAGAAAAAATAAGGTTGAAGTTACTGTTCTGGTTGTATTGGCTTAAGTTACTGTAGATGATCATTTTAGCTATTTTTACATATATTTTTTTCTTTATTTTATTAATAAAATATATTTTTAAAATAATTTTTTCTTAAATCAGCAGAATCAGCCAATGCAACCACTTGAGCCAGAACTTCATAAATTTTAGCAAAATCAATCAAAACAGCTGATTTTCGTGCTACCAAACGGGCTCTTAGTGAAGTCACTCAAATTCAACTACTCGTATAATAATTTTACCAATTTGAATACATTTCCTTCATTCTGTAGATTCCAATGTTATTGAAAAAGTATAGGCCCAATGTGTTTGATCCGGTCCAATTAGAAAATCACATGCCCACGATCTGGAATAACCTAACCTTACTCCCGCTTGTATTTCTACCACTCTCTGACTCTTTCTATCCCTCATCTCTCAGCCAGACTGTTCGTACGACTCTCTCCGTTTCCGATCTCATCTTCCCCTTAGGTCCGGCGCAGTCTACACCTCTCCGTTCGTCTAATATCCAGGTCAGTCGATTATTACTAACTGCCTTCTTATTTATCGTATCTCTTTTGATTGTTCTTACATATCTTTTTGGCATCACGAGATATTCGTCTGACTTTTTTGGGTGCTCCGATCTGTGTTATGTTTTATAGGAGTAGTAGAATATGGGAGATAACAAGGAAAGTGAAGCTTACGAGGAGGAGCTTTTGGACTACGAAGAGGAGGACGAAAAAGCCCCCGATTCCGTCGGAGTTAAAGTCAACGGCGAGTCCGTTAAGAAGTGAGCTTTACCTTGATTTTTCTTATTTTGTTATCTTTGATTCTGTTACGCCTCATAAGGTCTTCTGTTTGAAGTGAACTGCCCAAATAGTTTATGTGTGTGATATTACTTCATCAAAGGCATACCAGCCATTCCTCATGGCCCCTTTTTGGAAAAGTTTGTGCCTTGATGTTTAAAAGCGTTGTACTTTGGATGTTTGAATTTTGAAAATTTCACTTCGATGAGTTTCAATCAGTAGTGTTCTGATTAGTTACTGTTTTTATCACCTTAGTGAGGCAGCTAATTGTTTACATGTGTCATTCAAGTTAATACATGCTAGTATGCTACACTTATTTCTGAGAAGATGGGTTTTAAAGTTCCTCAGTTCCAACTGAAACGCACTAACTGTTCATTTGCATCGTTTCTTTTTTTAATCAGGGGTTATGCTGGAATTCACAGTTCCGGGTTCAGAGACTTTCTTCTCAAGCCTGAGCTGCTGCGGGCTATTGTGGATTCAGGGTTTGAGCATCCATCTGAAGGCAAGTGTGTCTATTGTATTGGACTGAGTGTCTAGTTCAGAATTGTGCACTAAAAATTTGCAGATACTTCTTACCTTGTTATGCTTGCTTGAAATGAAATAGTCCTCTGTTTGCCCTATTTAGTAATTATTATGGAATAGTCATGTTGCTTAGGGAAACATGGAACGTAAATGGTACAACCAAATTTCTTTCCAAATATTAATGCCTACCGAGTACCAAATTTTGTATTCACTTCCTTGTGGAATACTGTTTTATACTTGAAGGCGTTGTATGATAGTTTTGAGATGTATCAATCTACAATGTACGCATTCAAGTTGTTTTTGTTTACTTTATGTACTTATTCCTTGTTAGAGTATTATAGTCATTTAAAACCTGTATCTTAATCTTATTATGTTACCTTTTTAATGACTGCGAGAATGCTATTTTAGTATTCCTTTCGGTGACAATTTTTACTATATATGCGTACCTTGCAAGTGTCATAAGTACTTCCGTGTGCTGTAGTCATTGAATTTGGCTTACACGGTCATTTCTTTTATTTCCAGGTAATTAGTTATTATCACTACAATTTTGGAGAACTACAATGGTAAACTTTTTTTTACTGAAACTGAGAAACCCTTCCTCCTTGGATCCAATGTATATGGTTCATCAGTGCAACATGAATGTATTCCACAAGCTATTTTGGGTATGGATGTGATCTGCCAAGCAAAATCTGGAATGGGAAAAACTGCTGTTTTTGTCCTCTCAACTATGCAACAGATTGAACCAGTTGCTGGTCAAGTTGCTGCCCTTGTTCTTTGTCATACAAGGGAGTTGGCATATCAGGCATGTACCTGTGACTTTAATCGCAAACAGTGTTTAAAAATGGTTTTGTATTCCATCGCATGTAACACATTTACTACTGCTGCTTTTCCAGATCTGTCATGAGTTTGAGAGGTTCAGCACATATTTGCCAGATATTAAGGTGGCTGTATTCTATGGAGGTGTCAATATCAAAGTCCACAAGGATCTTCTGAAGAATGAATGCCCTCACATAGTAGTTGGAACTCCTGGAAGAATACTTGCATTAGCAAGAGACAAAGATCTTTCTTTGAGAAATGTGAGACACTTCATACTGGACGAATGTGACAAGATGCTTGACTCACTTGGTATTGCTTTCTGTTCCTTGATTTTTTGTTAGATGATCTTTTGTGTGAAATAGTTGTTTTTAAGTGTGGTAACAAGGCTGTGCTGTGCAGACATGAGGAGAGATGTCCAGGAAATTTTCAAAATGACTCCTCACGACAAGCAGGTTATGATGTTCTCAGCAACTCTAAGCAAGGAGATCCGCCCAGTTTGCAAAAAGTTTATGCAAGATGTAATGTTTCGTGCTGAAGTCTATATTTTTCAATATTTCAGCTGCCTGCTTGTTTGACCGGGTCAATTTTATCCATCTTAGTTCAACTCTAAGTTTGCTGGATGGGGGCTTAATGTTTATGGAAATGCGCTATTAAAGTTTGCTGGAAACATCAATCTGCGGCTAAACTAGATCAAAATCATAATGTCCATAGGCTTCTTCCCCCAATAGACCCCTTTTTCTTTTTTAGTAATGTTATAAAATAGTTCTTTAGGAGTGGAAGTATTGAGGTTTGTCTGAGAGGCTTGTGTTTGAGGTAAATGCAATGCTAGTGGAATTCAATGTCTGATGTTGAGCATTTCATCTGGGGGTTTGTCAGTGGTGATGTAACTTGTCAGCAACAAAGGAAATAGTTTGCGCTTTAATGAAGTCTCTTCCAGGCGTGATTTCACTGCTGGAATGGAACCCGACTCTTCGGATGTTACAATCAAACATTTCATGACCATTCTAAGCTCCATGAAGCTCCTAATATGCTTTACTATGACATTTATTCTTTTCAGCCTATGGAAATTTATGTAGATGATGAGGCCAAATTGACTCTTCATGGACTAGTACAGGTATTGATATTCTATCAGGAAACTTCAATTTTTTTTTTAAATATTGGAGTCTTGTTTTACACCTTGCATATTTCATCAGCACTACATCAAATTGACTGAAATGGAGAAGAACCGGAAACTGAATGACCTGCTGGATGCGCTGGACTTCAATCAAGTTGTTATCTTCGTAAAAAGTGTGAGCCGGTCTGCTGAGCTAAACAAGTTGCTTGTGGAATGCAACTTCCCATCCATTTGCATCCACTCTGGCATGTCACAGGAAGATAGGTTTGTAGCTCTTATTTTATAATGTTTTTGACGACTTGTATGTTTTAATGAGTTGTATTTTATTTTAGATTGATTGGTATGAACCATGCACCATTTATTCTAAAAGTCGGCTTTGTTTTTGATATTAATGTTATTGTGTTCTTAATGAGCTGTGTTTTACTTGAAGATTAACACGTTACAAGCTTTTCAAGGAGGGCCACAAGCGAATTCTTGTAGCCACGGATTTGGTGGGTAGGGGCATTGATATTGAACGAGTTAACATTGTCATCAACTATGACATGCCCGATTCTGCAGACACTTATCTTCACAGGGTATTTTGGATGTCTCTGAAGTGTCTTATTTTATTGACTTCCCGACAGCTCCTAATTTCTATCTCTGATCAAATAATAGGTTGGTAGAGCCGGTAGGTTTGGCACTAAAGGTCTTGCCATCACTTTTGTTTCATCTTCATCGGATTCAGATGTGCTCAATCAGGTATGCATACTGCTCTTCTAACTCTGTCCTTTCATATATGTATGTATGTATGTATGTGTGTGTGTATCATATTTTCTGAAATACATGTCTGCTTGCGGATTTCAGGTTCAGGAAAGGTTTGAAGTTGATATTAAAGAGCTTCCTGAGCAGATCGACACTTCAACATATAGTACGTGCTGTTACTTGCCTTGTTTCTTAATTTTGTCTATGCACCCCCAATGCTTATCAATTATCATCCCACCCCAGTTTCTAAATGAACAACACTTTGTTTCCAAACAAAACTACATAAACTACCTGATCGTTTTTTTTTTTAAATCCATTAGAGTTTTTTGGGACACTCATAACCCTCGCAACTTTTTCAATGTCTGTTGTGGAATACAATTTTGTACTCATCTTTGAATATTTCAACTTCATGATTCTGACTCTGAATATGACTCTTTTGGTCCTCAAATTGTGGCAGTCACAGTTGAATGGCCAAAAGTGTCAAATTACATAACAGTTGAAGGACTAAAATTGGGAAATTTTACAAGAATGGAACTAAAAGTGTCACTGTCACAATAGTTGAAAGATTAGAAGTAGTAATCCTGAAGTCAGACGACCAGAGTCTTTGACACAATTGTTGAATGGACTAGTAGTCCCAACAACTCTAAGCTGTTCATAGTGTATGTTCAATATCACCACCATAAATTGAATGATATCTAAAACCTGGGCCCCCCACTTTAGAAGGTAAAGTAATGCCATCAGATTACAGATGAAACGAGACATTTCACGAATAAAGTTAGTTTACAACTTTGGTTTAAGGACTGTTATTGCTGTTATGTGGTATTGCTTATAAAAAATTACTTTGAAGTTTTGCATTTCTCGAATCTTCCTTATGACTGCATTCACAAAGTAGATCTTTTATGCTTTTAACTATTCCAGAGTAACTCATTTTCCCTAGGATTTTCATCAGTTACTGACTGGTTGAAATATCCTATGTCATGATGTTGTTAGTTTTTATGTTTCTGAAAATTAACACAAATATGTTGTGTCCATATCCTGTCGTGTCCATTTCTTGTGTGCCTTGTCAAATAGTATCCGTGCTCAGTTCTTTTGTTCCAAAACTGTTGCAATGCAACATCCATTAGTATTATGTTACATGTGAAATGCTATGAAAATATTTGTTGTCATTGCAACAAGCTTGCTAATGAGTCTCATTGATGTGTTTGCAGTGCCATCTTAAAGACTAGAGTGCTTTCCTGGATGTGATATTTGATGACAGGGTAGTCAACTGTTGTAACAATTGGTGCAGGCAAGCCTGTTTCCATCAATGCTGTCAAATGTTTTGGACGATTTATTAAGATGTATTGGGTGATTACTTCCCATAGTTTATAGATTATATTCATCACCAGTTTTTCTCTACATTATGAGACATTAGGTGTTGAGACTTGTTAATTAATGTGTTGTCTTTCTTTGCTTAATCTTTTTGACGTCTGAGAATCTTGCTGGTAGTATTCATGTGGCATAGTTTTTTCATCACTCTAAATTTCTTGTCTAGATTTGGTTTAATTGCACTTGTGCTATTCTGCTATTTCATATTCGTATTATGTTGTGTACTGTTATAGAAACATTTATTTGTCTACAATCCTGCTGTGAAGTTAGAATTTGATGAGGATGCTTCATCTGTGGCCTTGCATGGATTAGACGCTGTGTGCCTGTGTTGCATACTTGCATTTTGTTTCATTTTAAGTTTTGTCAGCCACTATTTTATACTCCATCCCCAATTAACATTCTTCGATTTCCTCTTCAGTCCGTCCCTAAATGTTTGTCTTGTTTTCTGTTTTGGCAATAATGTGGCTCATATCAATTCATCTTTTTCTATTCAAATCCAACCTCAGGTTTTTACCTTTTTCAACCACGCTCAAATAAGACCTTTATTATGGGATACAGCCAGTAGGGGTGGCTTGGGATTGGTTTGACCAGCATGATACTTGAACTGAACCACCATTGTGCGGGACCGCCGTGGACCGGGTTGACTGGGACTGAGCCTTTGACCCGTACTGGGGTGGATTTGGGGGTGGACTTGGTTCTGGCCGGTCTGGGATTGGTCCGGGCTCAATTTATTTATTTTTTTGGTTTTTTTGAATGGTTTGGGTATGAGGTGGGTTGGGCTGGGTGGTTTTGGGGTGTTTGGGGTGGGGTGGTAAGAATAAATAAGAAAAAAGGCATTACCTGACGGTTCGGGGCCTCCATTTCCCAAACCTCAACCCACCCTAAGACTCCTAAGAGCATCTCCAATGGGGATGTCTATTCTCTTACACACTCTTACAATTGGGTCCCATTTTTTATCTCACAAATTTTATGTGTAGGACCTACATATCTCCTTATTTATTTTCATTTTCATTTTTTATATCACTTCTAACCCACTTTTCATCCACTTTTGCTCCTCGATTCCCGTGTAATGTCTATTTGTGGACATTGTCATAGACATTGTCTACAATTTACTCCTATCTCTCTCTTCCTTTTCATTTTTCCATACACACCACTTTCTCCATATTAAATTAAAATAATCATCCTATCTCTATCTCTCTCCTATGCCACGTAGGATAGACTTTACTCCAATCCACTACCCCATTGGAGATGCTCTAAGCCTAAGTGCCTGACCCGGAGGCCGGAGTTGGTCCCGATCCGGACCAGGTCTTGACCTGGTCTTGGGACATAGCTGGGCCGGTTCGGGGCCTCCATTTCCCAAACCTCAACCCACCCTAAGCCTAAGTGCCTGACCCGGAGGCCGGAGTTGGTCCCGATCCGGACCATGTCTTTAACTAAATAACACGGAATGTATACCTCAGCTATCCATATACAGTTTATTTTAGTTCCAATTTTTTAGTTGTGTTAAATTGCTTCAACCATTCCACATTTCCACATTTCATGTTTTTATTTCAGTCATATATTGTTCATATTTCTTCTTTAAATAAATACATGAAAATCGTATATCTTTTGTTTTATAGTTTTGGTTGAACTTTTAACAAACTTGATTATAATTTTGTTTTCATTCTTGTTTTTTTTAGATCAAAAAACAATTTTTACGTTTATGTTTGGACTGCGTCCCTAAAGTATATATCACGGAATATATACAGTGCATTTTAATTTAGAGTTCAATGGCTTTCACTTTACATGAAAATCGTATGTCTTCTCTGTACTTTATTGTTTGAACTTTTAACAAACTTAAAGGCCGTTTGGCAACACTGTTTTACCAAACACGTAATTTTTGCTTACCACGTTGAATTGTGTAATGAGTAGAAAAAGTAAGGTTGAAGTTACTTTTCTGGCTGTATTGGCTGAAGTTTTTGTAGATGACTATTTTAGCTATTATATATATATAATTGTTTCTTTATTATATTAATAAAATATATTTTAAAAATAATTTTTTCTTAAATCAGCCAATGCAGCCACTTCAGCCAGAACTTCATAAATTTCAGCAGAATCAGCCAAAACAGCCGATTTTGGTGCTACCAAACGGGCTTTTAATTACAATTTTCTCTCTTCTTTTTTACTTCTGTATTCGTCTCATTTTCGTTTATTTACGCAATTATGTGGTTAACACAGTATTCCTATTAACTCAATAAAGTTACGGACAACATCCTTAACTTTTCGTTCCCATTTATTTTCTTTTTCATCATTTTAGCCGCGATTTTTAAGCAACTACTCGGTAGATTGTTAAATTAATTTTTACAAATTGGTTTCTATACAAATCTATAATAATTACTACCTATTATGAATGTGATATCCTCTTACGTACAATAGAAGTTCTATATTCTGTCTTTGTTCTGAAACAAAACCCAGTGCACTAATTTTGTACCATCCTTGTGCCTTTGTTACACTTTTAAGTACTCTTTTTCTCCATAATAGTTTGTGTCCAAACTAGCTCTCAAAGCTTCGTATGGTACCCAAACTGCCCTTGTCAGCTGGAACTTGGGAGGCTATTTCCAATGACGTTTTTTCCTCCCCAGATGATAACCCCAGAAGAAGGAAGCTATCTTCTGGTTAATAATACTAACTACACTTTGAGGAAGGGTGGTAGCCGCAAGAATGTGAAGGGAGATGCTAGACAAAACATGCTTGAGAGAGTAATTTATGCCGCCAAGTAGATATATAACTTAGAGTCAATTTTGGCAAGGAGATCGTTGCAATGAATAGCCCTCGTAATCTCATGGTGAAGCTCAATACCTAGGTATTTTAGAGGCAACCTAGTACAGTTCATGTTGAGGACATTTTCCATGCCAGCAGGCTTCCCTTTGAAAAACGTGCTTTTGGATAAATTTACAAGCTGTCCAGAAGCATATTGATACCGCTCTAAAAAGGACATGAAGTTTGCGAGGGAACAAATATCAACAAATCATCTGCAAAGGCCAAGTGAGATAGTATCATACTTCTACCTAAGTTATAAGGGAGTATTTTACCAGCCATAACCATTTGATTGAGCCCTCATGTGAAGTAGGTGAGAAAGTGAACTTGAAATTTGTGGCAAGGTGAGAAATTTCTGACACAATAAACTGATCACTATCATGAAGAATCCCCACTTTGTAATTTGTATTCATCAGATTTCCAGCATAGCCACATTTTGTCAGAAGAAGAGCAACACATATCAGAGAAGCCAAATTGGTGCATATAAACACACCCTTTGAACTCGTTCTTAACAATTGTTTACCCATCTTAAGAAATTGATTTATATTTCCTCTCCTTTTAGGCATGGAATTTTCAATGCCGAACACTAGCATGATTGATATGGTTAATTTTGAGAAAACTAAGGCACTGAATTTGTGATTGATATGTCATGTATCCAACATTTTCCTGAAAGGATGAGAAGATAGAAATCATAGAAGTGATGACTGGTAGAAAACATTTGAACATTTATGATGACCGTGAAGTTCATTCAGTTCTTGGATTGAAGAATGTAAATTTTGAGATTGACTGGATGCCACTTAGTATAGAGTATCAAGTGCATTGATATAAAATTACATGGAGCCGATGTGAAGATTAAGGTAATGAGCAATTTGATTGGAGCGATAATGAGGATGCTGAAATAAACGTGACTGAAGCTACTGAAATGAAAAAAAAGGTTCTGAATGTGAGAATCATTACGAAGATATAAAGTCGCCAAAAATGAAAGGATGATGGACTTATCACACGGTGGTGATAACTCAGACTTGGAATTTGATAGTGATGGCAGGGATGTTTTAGCTTCAAGCGTGCAAGACATATTAAGCGAATGATGTAGGAGGAGACATGTTCATTAGTCATTTAAGTACATTTTAGGTTGTCCTAAATGTGACACATTTCCTATTTTGGAAAGAAATACGTGTTCCACACAATTTCACTTTATTATAGTCAATTCTCAATCACAACTTTTAAATTTTCAATCACTTCATTAATAATTGTGTCAAATCACAACTAGACACATAAAATGGGATGGAGGTAGTAGCCATCTCAAGGATTAAAATGAGAATTGAGGAGTTACCTGTGTGTGTGCTGCAAAAATGGCAAGTCGAGAATTCTTGCTTTAAGACTAACAGATTTGACCACGTCTCACTTGAAGAAAAATATTAGCAAACATAATTTAGATCAAAGAAGAATGTGGGACTATTGCAAAGCGGATTGCAAATATACATTTAGATCTATTAAGGAGGCATCTTGATTTACCAATTCAAGCGCAGAAAATCCTTTTGTTGGAAAAGCAAAGTGTGGAAGCGAGTAATGTAGCACTCTATAGAGCAAAAGCTGCATCAAAGAAAACATGCTCTAGTTATTATGTTGTAGGCATCAATTTGATCCTCATACTCTTTGTAATTCCTTTTCTCTTTATAAATTGGTGAAATGTTCCCCGTCACCCCAAAACTCCTCCAAGTTTTGGACCTTACCGAATAATAACGAGTTAAAAAAATTGTCAAAAATTCACAACTTTCAAATTGTATTGTTAAAGAACCCTGAGTCAATTGCACTAGTTCAAGGATGGTCCGTTGGAGATGATCTACTCCATTTCAAGAGATATTTATGCTTAAAAAGAACAACAATAAGGGTACCTAGCTTGTTGTATACTCTTTATTGATTTGAAATGAATGTTTTCTTAAAGGGCCATTTGGAGAAATATTACTTGCAGTCATAACTATTTACCTACCACTAAATAGATATAAATTAGATAATACGAATGTACAAGTCAATAATTAAAACACATTAATGATTAGTAGATTATGTATACTTATTACTATAATGTGTAATAAAAAAGTATTATAACTAGCAGTGTGTATAAGCTTATACCTAAAAATTATTATTTACGGAGTTTTATTTTCATATTAAGTAAAACAGCTATCACCACAAGGGTACTACTACTATATATTGATATCATAGCTATTATTAGGGAAAATGTACAAATATAATCATGTAGTATGGATGTGAAAACAAATATATTCTTGTTCTAATTTTGGAGCAAATATAGCCCTTAAGTTTATGTGGAAGTGCATATATACACCACCAGCTTTTAAAAGGTGCAAAAATACCACTCATGTTCCTACAAACAAACAAATTTACCCTTATTGACTAAGATAAAATAAATTTCAAAAAACACCAAAATAAATTATAATCCCTCCGTAACATTTATATCGTTCCACTT